TTAACAGTCCAATCAGCACATAACATAAGTTTACAACATTTTGTTACTTGCGACAAACTTGTCAGAAACTTGCGTGGAAGCTAACATACTTTGCAAGTCAAGCTCGCTGCGAGTATGTTACAAGCTTATGTTCTAATTGGGAGTATTATATTAACTAAATTCACTTAAATAGAACTTTCAGTTAATCGAACTTTCATTCAACAAAAGTTACATGTTGCAATTCGCCATTTTTGATTAAAAATACTTGAGCACCACTTTTAACACCGGGTGCTAACACCCATTGACAGTCGAAAACACCTGGAAAGAAAATGAGAAACATAACCTATAAAATCATGTGGCCCAGCGGCAGGCAACTCTGACCAGAACAGTTCGTATCTTGATTATGATATTTCTTCAAAATATCAAAATTTTAACAAACTTTTCGATATTAATTAATGAATCTTGAATTATAAATTGTTAAGTAAGAATTACTTAAAAATTATGTAAAATATATTATTAAAATCACATTTCTTTTTTCTAAATTTAAAAATCCCGCGCTTCACGAAATGCAGGTATAATACATAACATACGTATGTTCAAGATTTGTTAAATGTAATCGTTAAATATTCTGGAAATTTAGAAGGAGCATAAATAAGGAAAAATAAAAAGAAAGCCAATTGACCTAACTGTATTTATGATTGTCTATTAATTTCTGTTTTATTTACGCTTTCCCATGTCATAGAAAATGCAATTTTCAATAGTTTTTTAAATTCATTTGCTTTCCCTGCTAAAAATAAAATCAGAAATCAGTCTCAAAACGTCAGAAATCCTGACGTTTTGAGACTATTTTGATGTTCTGTGATGCTGCTGACTAATTCTGACTTAAATAGTTTTTATGGGCCTGACGTTTTCTAAAAAGTGACGATTTCTCACTACGTTTTATTTTTTTTATAAAAAGGGTTCCAAGAGAGGTACCAAGGCCACTCAAACCCACCATATAACTCTATTATATTATATATTCCCTTTTTCCAACAGAAGGGTCCTTTCGAGGGTCCATCAGGTTTTATGACATTTTAATGCAAAATAAAAAATTATTTAAATTTAAATAAATATTTTTTTAAATGTTATATTTGTAATTTATAGATTTTAACGATTCCAATGATATAAAACATTATGTAAAAACTCTAAAATTACATAATGATTATACAATAAATACTCCATTAATTAAAATTAATTCTCAATAATTTAAAAATATTTGCAAAAAATTTTATATCGTTGTAATTGTATTAACATGTACATTACGAATATAATATTTAAAAATCATTTTTTTCAAATGCAACAATTTTTAATTTTGCAATGAAAAGCCATAAAACCATAAAAGATCCTTCTGGCCTATACTTTTCTTTTTGTCCTTTTCTAACGTACATATAATATATATGGAATCACGTTTGTAAGACAAGGACAGAAAAGGGAAGGCGTCAATGACTACGACTATACTTTTAAAGTCCCTACTTCAAATTTGTATTTATTATTTTACAGTAAGCTAGTTTCCTTACATTTAGTTATAAGAAAGCAACATATGTTGAAAACCTATTCTTACCATTGTGTTAACTCTATATATATATACAGTGAAACCTCCCAATAGCGGACACCGACGGTGACAGCTGAAATTGTCCGTTAACGGAGGTGTCCGCTGTTGGGAGGTATCACCTATACAATTTTTTCTGATTTCATTTTTTTGTTAACACACTGAAGCTAGAGAAACACGGTGGCTTTGTACATGAAAATTTATAAAAATATTTAATTATATTTTTCAAAAGACTTTAAAATAGAAGTTTGCCTTTTAGGAATTAAGGCAGTTTTACGTTCTAAATGCATTTGTGCATTTAATATTAAATTTAGTCCTGTGGTATCATTACTGTTCAAGAAGTACATTTTTAATTCAGAGAAATGATAGAAAGCAATGTGAAATTTTCTTTTGATGTCATTATTGCCATTTTTCGAATTACAAGACTTACTTTTGTTTTGGTTGCTAAACTTACAGGGTCAGTGTCAAAAAGACACAAAAATCTTCAAAAAATGTTAAATTATACAAAATAAAAATTACGTTATTTTTTCATTCAATATTTTTAATATTGTTATTTTTAACAAACTAACTTTTATTAAAATTTTATGATTTTTAATAAAAATTTTCTTGTTAAAAATAACATCAACAATCGGTCAAGCGTCCGTTATTTGGCGCATTTGAGTGTCCGTTAAGAGAGGTGTCCGCTTTTAGGAGGGTCCGCTATTGAGAGGTTTTTGACCCATATAAAGCAATGTAATTTTGCCGGGACTTTTAAATTTCGTCCGTTAAAGGAGGTGTCCGTTATTAAGAGGTGTCCGCTAACAGAGGTTTCACTGTATATATATTTGAAAAAAATTAGAAATCGCTGGCTATTTCACATAAAAGTTTATTTTTTTACAACTATAGATGAGCAAAAACATTCTGGTCTCTTGTAAAATAGAATATATGAATTGATCGCTCAATCAATCTCTGAGCGAATTTGATCCAGTTTCCACTAAATATAAATTTGATTTGAACCAAATATTACATCTAATTATAGTGCAGTATGCTAAAAAGAGAAATTAAAATTAGTAATTATTTAGTTGATTTGTGGAAGAATTATGTTAAATTGAATTTTAATAATATAGTAATTAATATATGCATATTAATTAATTCTTATCACTATAATTAATTATAATAGTAATGAATGTGCTAAAACGTGAGCGAAAAACCTGATAAAATTCGCTCAGAGTTTACTTGAGACAATCCGATAGTATCTTATTATTCTAGACCATTTTATTTGTATATTACACATATTCTTTTAAGTTCGAATTCAAATAATATTTACATACGAATTTTTTGTTTAATTAAATATTTGCTGAAGCAAATTTTATTAATTGAATACATTAATATATGATAATTGGACTACAAATGTTTTTTGATCAATATAACAATATACCTATTTTAACTTTACTTGTTAATTTTTAAAAATTATAAAATTTTTTTAAAATAATAATAATTATCAACAAAATATGTTGATAAAATTCAAAAAAAGTAATAAGATCTTCTATTTTCATAAAACAGTATTCTATTTTTAAGATCTCAGTTAGGTTAGTTTAGCTCAGGGGTTAGGTATTCGGTTTGCGTTCGTTAGGTTGTGAGTTCGATTCCCTGCGTTTGCGAGATTTTCTTCGATAGGAGTAAATAAATATAATAAATTGTAAAAATAATAATTAAGAATGTGTAACGTAAAGATAAAAAAATGTTGTACGATAATTTATTTTTTTAATGATAAAATATTGATTTTTTTTAATTTTTAAATATTTGTAGTCAGAATTCATGAGAAGTAAGTCAGGAATCTTCAAAACTATTTTATAGAAAGAAATGTCATTTAACATCACAAATAGTCACAGGGTTTAATGATTTATGGTATGGCAAAAAAAAGGGTCTCCGACCCTCATAAAAAATCTGACTACTATTGACGATTCTTTGACTAAACCTCACTTATTGTGGTGTTCTGTGACTGCAATCGTAACAAAAACAGTCTCAAAACGTCAGAGATCCTGACTAATTTTTTGACGTTTTGTGATTTTATTTTTAGCAGGGTTCTTTTTATTTTTACGTATTTATGCTCCTTCTAAATTTCCAGAATATTTAACGATTACATTTAACAAATCTTGAATTTTTTATTTCCTTAAATATCCCCTCACAATATGCCAAGAATCTTTAATTTTAATATTTAACAGAAATTCAAATCCAATATTCAGCCAACCTCTGTGACTGACCTTCATTATGCGCGGACATTTAAACATTAACTCAACCTCGTTTGGACCTCGCGACTCAAGTTCCCGAACCTCGTCAAGCGAGGTTCAGTCAAGGTTCAGGGAAGTTTCGGTGCTGTCCGGGTAACTATCCTATATTGAACTAATTATGTGAAGAAATAAGTATAATTATAATGAAATGAAAAGTACACTGAAATATCAATTTTCTCAGTTACGAAAAATTTAAGCATTCGAGTATATCTAAGGCACGGACGTTGAGGACCTAGGTATTTTTTCATATAATTAGTTAAATAAAGTATAGTTACCAAGTTTAATACATTAATTTACCATTTTCATACAGAAAACACCAAATTTTTATTTTCTACACAAATGAGAAGTGCGAAAAAATGTGCATGGTTTGTTTACATTTCATGTTTGTTTACATTTCACATGTTGGACATACCCTCAAAGGTTCTCGAAGGTTAAAAAATAACAAAAAATTAGATCTAGCAATTTCTCTTCTGCTAGTTCTGCTAAAACTGATTTTTTATTATTTTTTAATCTTTGAGTCATTGATCGCATAATTATACGCAAATAAGTATTGCATAAATTACTGTTTTATTTGAAACAAAAATAGTTGTCATTAATTGTTAACTAATTTCAGTGAAAATAATTAATTTTTGAAATCTCCCATATAAGGCACTGGATAGTTGGAGCCAAATCGATCTACTTTCTGTGACTTTACCGACTGGGGTGACGTCACGTTAGACATCTCTATAGGGCAAAACTGGTCACTGACCAGAAAATCTATCTGAAATCGTTTTGCAGACAAAGTTAGTTAGTTTAGTGAAAATTGTGTAAAGATTTAAATGTCCCGATCAAACAAATGTTTAGAGTGAAACTTTTCTGAATATTTATTCAAGTGGGGCATTTAAATCTTTACACAATTTTCAATAAACATTGCAATTAAATATTCTGAACATTTCAAATAAATCTTTAGGAAATCTTTAGGAAACTTTCGATGCTGTGGGTGATATCTTGGCTTAAGTTTTGTGGAGAGATACTTAATTCCCACTGAAGGATTACATCTCTATGTAAACTTTAAATCTATAAACTATTCTTCAAAATGGACATACATGAAATCAAATATTAATTTTTTTAAGAAGTTTTTTGATTATTAAGCCAATTCTTAACTTCTTTAATTTATTTTTTAGATTAGAAGATGCGGTTGTGTCGTCTAAAAAAAAGCATTCAAAAGATGATAAGAAGTTTAAATTAACTACCAAAGACATACGGATTGAAGACTTTACTAGAGATAAGAAAGAAGACAACTTGGTTACTACTAATATAGGAACCTCAATTATAGAAAATTATACTGAGAATTCTAATTCTTATTTTGCAAGACACGAAACAAGTGTACCTAGTTCATTAAAGCAAAACACTCAGAGCAAAAAACGCCGAAAACGACACCATCGAAAAAGGTATGTACTTTTTGTAAATATTAATTACACAGGTCTACAAGGATTTTTTTAGATATCAGAGTGATTATCAATGTATTTTTATGTGCTGAACACGATCCCCAGTTCCAAAATTGTGTACCATGTCAGGATTTTAAGTAAATTTGGGGTAAAGTCTCCAAAAAACCGTCTTTTTGAGGGTTTTTAATATTTTTTCTCCTTAACCTGATATGATAGAGACTTCTATATAGGCTTAAATTAAAGCTTATGTCTTACACTTATTTTGTAGACCTGTGTTATTTAATTCAGAATTTGAATACCTTATACATGTAGTGTTGTATTTTTTCATTTTTGTAGAAATTTGAAGAATAAAAGTCAGAAATTAAAAGTTCTTAAATCTACTTTACACTTTGGTAAATTGTTGTCTTATATGAAAGTAAAAAATTCGTAAAGTAATAACTCATTTTAACCCTTCAATGGCCCAGTTTTTTCACTTTATTTTGAAGACATGAAGTATAGATTTAATTATTTCCGTATTCAACATGAATAAAAAAAATTTTTTAACACGTTTCACCCCTTAAAACCACCCCTAACGTTTAATACTACCCCGAAACATTGATAATATCTAAAGGATTAATTAAACATTTTACAGCTTCTGCATACTTTATAATTATTTTTAAATATTTCCTGGTTATTTTAAAATTGGAAATGATAATCAACAACCACTTGAATACCACCCTAAAAATTAAAAACCACCCCTTAATGATAAAAATTTTTGTAAATGATTAAAAAAAAGTTTGTGAATTCTTAGTGCATGTAAATTATAAAAAAGTATTTCTAAGCTACACAGATATGAATAATTATGGTAAACAACCCCTTGAAACCCACTCCTAATTCATAATTATTTTTTATATACTGACATTTGTTTTGAAAAATTAAAAAAAAATGATTTTGACTGATTTTTTTTCAAAAGTCAAAAATTAAAAACGTTGTAATTCAAAAACTATTTTATTAAATTCAATAATAATTGATTTTTAGACTTTCATCAACAATAACAACATTTTAGAAAAGTATGGATTAAATTCGAGAACTTTTAATTTTTTGTTCGGACATTTCAGGAATTTTGCCTCATTTGTGTAATAAAATAAATTGTGTGTAGTTACAGTTTAAAATTTTCACCGTTTGGACCCATGTTCCTCTATAATAAATTTAAAAGTTCTACAACAATAGAATTTCGAGATAATAAAAAAATCGGGGTACAAAAATTGTTTTTTTTAAATATTTTTTTGCAAACTCATTGTATTATATTTATCTTTATATATTTTACTGGAAAAATAAAAGTAAACAACATTTTTTTAAATTTCTAAATAAGTTAAAACTGAAAAATAATATTTAATTTTGAGAAAAATAGGGTTATAAAATTGTTAAATTTTAGTTTGAAATAGTTCTTTGTATTTTGAAATATTCTGTTGCTTGTTTAACGATAAGTACAATAGGGTGAAAATCTAACCCGGATGAAAAAACTTGTACAAGTTCTTGTATACTTGTTCATGAATGAACTTGTACATTTTCTTGTACATGTTCAAGTAATGTTCTTGAACAAGTTTAGTATCCGAAATTGAGAAATGTTCTTGTATCAGAACTTGTACAAGAACCTGGACAAGAAAATATACTTGAACAAGAAAATGTACATGTTTACATATTTTTTTCTGCAGGTTTCATGAACATTTTCTTGTACCAGATGTGGAACATGTTCTTGTAGATGTTTTTAAATTGAAAATTAAAAACTTTATAGGCTGCGCAGTAGTTTTCGTAAGCCTTTACAGCTACGCAATAATTTTTAGCATGCATAAGTGAAGAGTCAAAATAATTATAACTTATTAAAATTTTAAATTTTTTTCAAAAACATTTTTTATACAAATGTTCTTGTGCAAGAACATAAACGTATTCATGTAAAAGTACTTGTACATGAAACCTGCACAAGAATATGTACAAGAACATGTACATTTTCTTGTACAAGTATATTTTCTTGTCCAGGATCTTGTACAAGTACATCCATAAAATTGTGATTGGTTGATTTTAAAAATCGCGCTAAAATCTTTCTGTTGATTGTTTGTTTGGCCATTTGCAATTTCGGCCAAATGAAAATTCTATCAATTAGAAATTCTGTTAACCGGTTAACTGGTCACAGCTCTCCTCAGCAAATTCAAGAGTCATTAAAATGGTAACTCAAAATTATGGTTGCATCTTTTAAAGCACATCCAAAATAGGCAAATGCAATTTTGCAGAAAATCCCAGCTGCTCCCCTTTTCAAAATATTGCTGAAAACGTTATTTTTTAATTAAAAAACACTCAATTTGCAAATGTATATTAAAAACCGAAACTTTCGGTGCTGAGGGGGTGATTCTAATTACCTTTTTTTATTACTAGGGTAAGTCCGAGAGAGATGGAACACGTTTTTTCAAACCTTTGTAATTTTAAAAGAAATTAACATCGCAAACCTATTCAAGTGCGATGATTTACTTTGAATGCTTCTATATAAACCTGCAAATCAGTTTTAAATTTTTATTATTTCTGATATTTAAAAAATTTGTTTTGAAAATAAATGTCAATTCTGGGAGAGATGAAATTGTCCGGGTTAGACGAAACATGAAATTTCATTGAAAATAATACTATTTTAAGACAACAAATTGATAGATGGAAGTTAATTAAGAAATTTTTAATTTATTTTCCGGAGAAAATTCTGATGAAAAATTGGCACTTATTTTAACCTCAATGCCTGTTTCATTATTTATGATTGAATTAATCTGATTGGTTGGTTGATTTAGCAACAACCAATGGAATTGATAGTTCTTGACAAGTTAAAAAAAGAAGGATATTTATTGACGTTAAGTAGTGTTAAAAATGAATGTGAAAGAATTATTTGAAGATTTTTGAAAGATCTTGAGATATAGTTAAAAATTATGTGTATACAGAATTGTATGACTAATAATAAATATCATTAGTTAATAAAATTTATTTATTGTTAAAATTGTTTGTAGTTATGATAAAATAAAGTAAACTCGCGCGATCGGTCTCGTCTAAGTAAAAATAAGATGGTTAAATGGTTAAATGGTTGAAATAAGTGGGACTTAAAATAAGTGAAGCTTCAGTGTAGAGAAAATGTTCTAGGTCTATATTTTTTATATAGACCGATCATAAACTTTGTGGGTGAATTTCATGTAACATTCAATAAAATTCGCTAAATTAAAATAATGATACATAAAGAGAATTTTGCTAATTTATTGTTAGACACTTCCATGAAAAAATAAAATTACAGTTTGTAAAATATTTTCGGATATAGAACAGGTGTTCCAACTCTCCGAGATTTACCCTAATGTTTAATTAAATTAAATTAAATTTATAATGAATTAAAATGGAGATTTAAACAAGAAAAAGATACAATTATAATTAGTGTTTTTTGGTGTTTATTCTAATTGCCTAACAGTAATCAGTCCAGTAGCCCTTTAACAGCTTATTCTTCTAACAGCCTGATTTTGTCTACTGGCTAATCGCCTAGACTTATTCGGGTAGAGCATGCCGAAAAACGGTTATATACCAAATTTTGTTCAAATCGGTTGAAATTTTCAAAAGTTATTCAAATATGTACATATTTGATACAGTACCAGAATTGGAATGTTTTTTGTACATATATGATATAGTACCAGTTAACCTGTTAAATGATTTTTCGGTTAAGTAAAAATTATGTAGTATGAAAAATCGGTTATATGGGAATTATATCAAATAATAATTCAAATAAATGAAAATTCAGCTGAAAGAAAATTCTATGCAATGAAATTCTACCCAATAAAAATTCTCTAAAATGCCTATTATGTTACAAGAAAATTCGAGCAAATAAAAATTCTGTGAAGTGAATTTTCGATTATATAAAAATTCTGTAATATAGAAAATCGTTTTGATGAAAATTCTGTAAAATACTAATTCGAACAAATAAAAATTCGGCTCAAAAATAATTATGGCAAATGAAATTCTTTAAAATGAAAATTCGAAATAATGATTTTTAGAACATAATCATGCGTCCCGTTTTTTCGGGAGTATATCTGTTAAAATAGCAACTTTCCTGTTTCTTCGGTTAGTTCTGCTTATCTTTTGTGGACCTGCCTTGGGTATGTTCGAACAATTTCTGGGGAAAATAATTGCTCCGATGGATTAATTGCCTAGTTTTCTTTGTTGTTTGTAAGGAATTTAAGTTCATGTCGGCTAGTGGAGGTAGACGAACGAGGATCAAGGGTATGCTTTATAGCTTGCTCTGGAGGGACATTATCCAGCTCTACAGATTCTGGACCTGGACGGTTACAAATGAAGGTGAAAACTCATCACCACTAAAAATGTTTGCATTAAATGGGAAGATGCCAGTTATGGTCTTTCCTGGGTCATTTTTTAGCCATGTATCTTGAGCAGAAGCACAATACTTTTTGAACGGTCCGAATACTGAGATGTCTAAAGGCTGCAGCTTGTGGCTACAATGAGGTGGATATGACAACATAACAATACCGTTCTCTTTAGCAAAATTCAATGTCTCCAAGTACACAAAAAATTAAAAGGCATTAAAATAAGCTGCAACGCTTCTTATTTTAATCCAATTTTGCTTATTTTAATCCATTTTTGTATTAAAATAAGCAAAATTGGATTAAAATAAGAAGCGTTGCAGCTTATTTTAATGCCTTTTAATTTTTTGTGTATAAATGAGAGGAGTGGTTATCTAATACTAGCAAAACACGATGCTTTTTAGATGGTTTTACATATTTTATAAAATGCTGTATAAACTGCAAGAATTCTTCGTCCGTAACCCATCCACTGGCATTATCTGCTCCTATATAGTCACGGAAGCAGCCATTAATAAAGTAGCTCTTGAAAATTTTTCGGGGAAATTCAAACGCAGTAAATCGATATTTACCTATTACTTCAGCTAATTTGTCAAAAATGTCTTTGACGTTCTGAATATTAAATAAAGTTTCACTACCAAGACTGGTGGGTTCTGGCTTTCGAATAGATAACTCGGGATTTTGTTTTAAAAACAAAGTCAGCCAATCATTCCCGGCCATCTTATTATCAGTCCAAGAGGCTAAAATTTTAATGTATCTTCAGTATCTTCAGACGCATTCACACTTTTTCCTTCTTTGACAGCATTTTTTAATTATTCATAAGAGTAAGAACCTCTTAAAGTTTATATATCCGCATTCTAAAATAAAATATATAATTATATATTATTTTCATTTTCACCCAAGGGGGTTAATTGAGCAACTATTGCTCAACTAACCTCAAGGCGAATGTTTGAAAAAAAGTGAGTTTGAAAAAACTATTTGAATAAGAACCAAATCCTTTCTAGATATCTAAAAGAGCAGAAAACTATGTTCGTTCTGAAAACGTTTCATGTCCGACAAATAATGTTCTAAAACATTTTTAGAACATGGATGTTCAAATAATGTTCTAGAATGGAATATACTAAATTTATGAAAATATAACACTTACCTGACTTTAAATGGATAATATTTGACTTTTATAGAACTTATATCTTATGTGAAATCTTAGTTAGATATTTCAGAATCTACATGAAATCTCATATGATTTTTTAAGTTCAAGTCAATGTGAAATCATATGCAAGAATGCACATGAAATCCCATAATTATGGTTTCCTATTTTAATACTTTTATGTAAGATTTTACATAAAGAAATCTTTAGAATTTTATATGATATTTTTTATAAGATTTGATGTTGATAATTATGAAGGAAATTGACGTAGGTAATTGACAAAAATAATATGCCAGAAAAATTATAGGAAATAATGTAGGAATTAACATAGGTTTCTATGTAGAAAGAAAATCATAAATTCACACATGAAATCATACACCAAATACCAAATCATACGGTTTAACGCATATGATAAAGCTACCAACGTCAACATGCATAATAAATATCTTTTTTTAAATTACACTATAGGGTTATATTTTTCTCATATTATTATTATTCGAGAATACAAATCTAAAATATACCCTAAAAATATTATAAAATTACAAAAACTACAATCTATTTACTAAAAACATAATTTTTAAAGTTTTTTTTTCTTTTCAATTTTTTCATAATATTTTTAGACACTTTAAAATTTCTAATCATGGGTAATTTAAAAATGGTAGGGTTTGGAAAACTGCATGGAATCACGCAGACCCCCGGTGTGCTTCTTGCTTAAAAAAATAAATGTTCTTCATGGGTTAAAAAGACTACGTAGAGAGAAAAGTCGAAATTGAAAGTTTATTTACTTAGTATACATACGTATTTTCGCGAGTAGATTAAACGAAAATTATAGCGAATCCGATTAGAATTGAATTTAATATAGTTATAGAACAAAAACTCGAAATTTTGGAAAAAATTGTGTCCCCCAAATTAACTTTTACAGTTTTGGAGCTAGGATGTTCAAATTTGGTATACATACGTAAATTTGCGAGTAGATTAAAGGAAAATTATAGCGAACCCGATTGAAATTAAATTTAATATAGTTATATTCCCAAAACTTGGTACACATATTTAATTTCACGTGTAGATTTCATGAAAAATATAGGTAACCCTTTTGAAAGTGACATAAATATTTGTTCACAACAAAAACTCCAAAATCCTGAAAAAAGATCAAAATTCCTTTTCATCTTAAATTTAACAATTTTTTAGCCAACCATCTCAAACTCTGTACATATATATGTATATATTTACAAGCAAACTGAAAGAAAATTATAGACAAATTATTTTTTGTAAATTAAATAAACATTTAAATAATCGAGAAAAGAACTCTAGGTATGCGAGTGTATCTCGCACTTGACCAATTTTTTAAATTTTAGACAGCTTTTTGCGTATTTGTGACAAGTGTTCATGGCCCATTTGAGTTTTAAAACAGTACGCCACACTTTTTTCGGAAGTTTTTAATTTTTTCAATTTTTATATTTTAACACTGCCTCCCATTCAAGAAGACTAGAAACAGGAGGTATTACTCTTGCAGTAAGTGTTGGTTAAGAGAAATGGGGAGATATCTTGGCTGGGCTTTTCGTTTCGGCTTACACTCAGTAGATTTCTGCTCTCACTAATACATACGCATAGCATAAGCACAAATCCCTCCCATAACAAGATGCATATCAAATGCATTAGTATGGTCAGAAATTTACTGAGTGTAAGCCGAACGAAAAGCCCAGGCAAGATATGTCTCCACCACTCTTACCACCTCTTTTCATAGGACTCATGGCTGAGTTACACCTCCTGTTTCTAGTCTTCTTTCTCCAATTATTCTTTAACATAACTTATTCAGTTACTAAAATTACTTCATCAAAAACTTCAGTAATGAAGAACTAATCCAGGACGTAAAATAAAACATAAAATTTTTATTAAAATCACGTACTTTATGTTATTTCTAACCTTAGATAAATCCTAACCACTAATTATGTCGATAAAACAATGTCATCTTTGTGAAACATTTGGTTATATAAAATTTCAATTTATATGTATATGAGAATGCTGTCATCATTGCACTTAAGTATGGTAATCTGGATATTAAAGGAACATCATCTTCGCGGAAGTTCTGACTTTTCTGATACATTTTCAGAAATTGATAATCAAATTTTTCATTAATTACTAGAATAAAATGAATCCCGAAAATAATGTATTTTAATAATTACCATCATGAATATGGTTATATTATAATTTTTATTCTGGTAAAAATTTTCTAGAGAAGATATTTTTTATATCTAGTTCACCGCAATTGACGGCATCCTATGAAATGCATTTAAAGGGTTTTAATATTCTTATTTAGATAAAATTCCCTAGAAAATATAACATTTTTATTGTGCTTAAACTTCCCTGGAGATGACGCTGTTTTACTACCTCGATTACTATTATAAAAGAATAGAATGATAGCATCCTCATTAATAAACAAAATGGAATTCTATTTTATCAAAAGTTCAATGCAGATGACTTTGCTTCAACACCTAGATGGTGGCTAGCATTTAACTATGGATAGAAATAACAAAAGTTGCATAATTATAATAAAAAATTTCATGAAAAAGCTGTTTCTTTATACTTCCGACATTTTTTTCGCATTGTTGTTTGTTTTTTAATTTTTCAAGCAGAAAACATTTTGTTTTGAAGTTAATTCTCAATAAACCATCGCACTGACAGCATGACTTGAGATGAATTCGGTCTATGGCAATGTTTTGTTAACATTTTTCGTCAACGTCTTTAGACTAAAACATTGAAAACGCTATTTTTAAACATGTCTAATTGTAAACGTCAAAAAAAATAAAAGAATTTGCACTTAAATGCATTAATGCTTTCCTTCCAGTTGAACGGCGTTTTAAAAAGTCGTGACACATCTATCAAAATGTTGTTAATTCGTGGCGTATTATAAGTAATCATGTCACGACTTTTTAAAACGCCGTCCAATCGGAAGGAAAGCATTAATGCATTTTAGTGTATTTGCAACTGCTTATTAAGAATTAATCGATATTGATTAATAGAACTAAAAAATTTAATGCAGAACAACATTCCAGAATCCAAAGATACAAAAGAGAACGTCTGTTACGACCGAAATTTGATAAAATGGTACATCGGTCAATTTTTACTACGAATTCTGCAGAATCTTCAAATGAAGCAGTTTCTCTTCACGACAGGCGTTTACGATCAGTTGAATTCCAGAAACAACAGAAACCAAAATTTTTGGAGAGCACACAAGATGCAAAGTATTATATTCAATTCTCCAGAAGTAGAAGAGCAGCTACTGCTCGAAAAGAACGAGTTTGGGACCACGGAGTTATCCCCTATGAAATTGATGGAAATTTCTCTGGAGCCCACAAAGCTCTATTTAAACAAGCCATGAGACATTGGGAGAACTTCACTTGTGTAAAATTTGTCGAAAGGATTCCAAGAGAACATCCTAACTACATAGTTTTTACAGAAAGATCTTGTGGGTAAGTTGTCATTTTTCATATAATCATTGTGTATTGTTTGAACAAATAATTTGATGTACTGTATAACTGTTGAATATGTCGCTTATACTTGAATAAATTTTACTCAATTCAATTTAATTTCGAATAATAAAATTAAAAGTTTAAATTCAATATGAATACATTTGCTCATTACATCAGAAAAACCAAAAGATAGCTAACTTATACACTACAATATTTTTGTAATATAATATAATACACTAAAAAGTCGTCCCATGAATAATCACGGTGCTCTAGGTATGAAACTTGTAAGTTTCACATCTGCAAAAAGTATATACTTTGTAATATTAACACATTATTTATTATCAGTGAGGTTGACATGGCAACTATCTAATTACAAAAAAGTTTATCTTGTGAGAAGTTCTTACTTTATGAATTGAAAATAATTTTATTGTTTATCAAATAAAGAACGTTTTTCATGGATTTTTCCAAGACGGGAACAGGTAGAACTTTATTTCAAATAGAATTTCAACCTACACTGAAAAAAAAAATTATTTGGATCAAATAAAAAGTATTTGATTCAAATACATTATTTACTTGTCTACTATCTAATAAATACTGCCGTCCCAACGAGAGTAGCAGTAACTACATTTTGGTTAAGTCACTTATTGGTGGCAGTGGCAGTGGCAAGTAGGAGACTCATCCTAAATGCAGATACGGTTATTCTTGTTGGGGCGGCAGAATATGTATTTGAACCAAATACACATTTACTAAACCTAAGTATTTTATTTTATCGTGCCAAATAAATAATAATTTGTATCAAATACAAAGTATTCAAATCAAATACATGGAATATTTCAAGCTAATAAATAATTATTTGAATCAATTATGAAAATTATTTCATTCAATACTGCATGTTTTTTGATTCAAATAAATATTTATTTTCATCAATAAAATATTTTTCTTCAATCAAATATTTGATTATTTATCATAAGTAATTGTTTTAATTGAAACTAAAACCTCTTTAATTGCGGCAATTATTATTTTATTTGATCCAAATACATAATTTATTTGCATAAAATGAAAGAATTTTTTGATTCAAATAAATCAAAATTTGAATTGAATAAATAATATATTTATTTACTAATTTTTCCATTTCTAAATTAAAATCTTACTCAAATTAAATTTATTAATTAACGTTCTAATTGATTAACTGATTAAAAATAATAAATTAATTAATTAAAAACTATGTATTTTCTGCATACTACACGGAGAGAAAAATCTGGCTTTTATAGTATGAAAGTAGTTCTTACTATTCCAGCATGAATTTTTCCTACAATTAGAGCAAGAATTCATGCGTTCTCAGCATGAAAGCAATCAATGGTAGAAAGGTATGTTGAACATACTCTCATTGGAAGAACTTCATGCTCTGAAAGCAGGAGCGCCATGCGGCAAAAGTATAGAACACCGTCCTACTAGGATTGCAGGAGTCTCATGCTTTTTCGGTATGAGACTCTTGCAACAGGAGTTTAAGCCACGCCCACTTATATACTTTGCGTGAAAACGTTAGCGACGCATGGGCTATTTCGAATTTCTGATATCAGTATGTGAATCGCAGTGATTGATAACAGACGAATTGTGTTCGTTTTTTGTTCGTATTTTTGATGTTTTTGATTTAATGTAAGTATGAATATTAAATTATTTTAATAAATTTTTTTATACTCAATAATTGTATAAAATGATAATCCCACGTTCTATGAGAAATATATGTAATGCGAAGATAGTAAGAATTAATGCCAGAAATTATTTAATAAAAATTCGATTTATATATAAATTTTTTTTTGTTATCTTTTTATTTATTTTCTAATTGTAGGTGTGTAAATTTACACCGATATAAGAACAAAGATTAAAAAAATGAATGATACGTCTATATATTTAAATATTTAAAGAAAGTTCATTCCATCTTTTCCAAATGTAAATTATTCTAAAAATCATAACACATTTCAAAATTTCAGAAATTTGTATACGTTCTTCACGCATTCAAAAATTCAATAATTCTTAAAAGTTTAAACTGTTCTATTTGAATATTTTAAATTAAAATTATTGGATAAATCAATTACTTCCCATTATTTTATTAAGTATAAATTTATTTCATTATTATAATGTTTGATACAATTTTACCTTGATGAGAAGTTTCTATTTCATTAAGTAAGATCAAAATTAGTTTTTATTAAATATTTTTGGTGTAATGAAAACTTGAAGATCAATGGTTTGTATTAAAAGTTGATCCTATTTGTGTATTTTCATTCCTAAAATTTAAAACATAATCTAAAATTCTTTGCTTCTTATATACCTTTCTTTGTAGCGCGACATATATATATATATATATATATATATATGGGACGTTCCACGTCAAACGGAACAGAGCTCTAGCCAAAAATTGGCTTGATAAAAAAAATCGTTTAAGGGCTGAAAAAACTTGTTCACTCTTGTACTTTCGAAAGCAGATGGGCGATTTCAGAAATTCAATATGGCGGCGCCTCTAGATGTGATATAAGTCATCAATGTCACGATTCGACAAATACAAACATGAATAAAATTTCCAAAACTAATTAAATTGAATCAAAAAATACACTTTTAAGCATTTTTGGGGTCGCTGAATACGAATCTGAAGTCAGATTTTAAAAATTCAAAATGGCGGATCCAAAATGGTGGTCGATTTTTGTTAAAACTAAATATTTTTTCTCAAAACTGGTTACTCGGGTGTTTTTGGGGTCGCTGAATATGAATCTGCAGTCAGATTTTAAAAATTCAAAATGGCGGATCCAAAATGGTGGTCGATTTTTGTTATAACTCAATTTTTTTAAAAAACTGGTTACTCGGGGGATTTTGTGGTCGCTGAATACGAATCTGAAGTCTGATTTTAAAAATTCAAAATAGCGGATCCAAAATGGTGGTCGATTTTCGTTAAAATTCAATTTTTTCTTCGAAACTTGTTATTTGGGTGTTTTCGGTGTCGATGAATTAATTATAAAATTAGATATTTTTGATTAAATATGTTATTCGGGTGTTTTAAAGGTCGCTTATTTTTAAAACAAAGGATCACTTGTATATTTTTTAGCCAAGTGTCTTTGAAACCTTTTATGAACGATAGCATTGTAACTAACAGTGTATATTTTTTAGAGCTTTATGATTTTACCTATGTAAAAGAAAGATTTAAATATCAAAAGTCCTTACAAACACTTTACTACTCATTAATTTTACATATTATTTTTTTATTTTTCATATGCGCTTAGTTTTTTGTTATTATTATTTTATTTACAACATATTCGCATTCAGCGACCCCAAAAACCCCCGAGTAACCAGTTTTGAGAAATAAAATTGAGTTATAACAAAAATCGACCACCATTTTGCATCCGCCATTTTGAATTTTTAAAATCTGACTGCAGATGCATATTCAGCGACCCCAAAAACCCCCGAGTAACTAGTTTTGAGAAAAAATATTTAGTTTTAACAAAAATCGACCACCATTTTGGATCCGCCATTTTGAATTTTTAAAATCTGACTTCAGATTCGTATTCAGCGACCACAAAAATGCTTAAAAGTGTATTTTTTGATTCAATTTAATTAATTTTGGAAATTTTATTCATGTTTGTATTTGTCGAATCGTGACATTGATGACTTATATCACATCTAGAGGCGCCGCCATATTGAATTTCTGAAATCGCCCATCTGCTTTCGAAAGTACAAGAGTGTACAAGTTTTTTCAGCCCTTAAACGATTTTTTTATCAAGCCAATTTTTGGCTAGAGCTCTGTTCCGTTTGACGTGGAACGTCCCATATATATATATATATATATATATATATATATATATATTTATATATATTAAAATCATTTATCTACATTTACTTATTCATATACAGTATCTCACAGTTTAATAAAAACAAGCAAATCATTTTGAACTATGTAAATTTAAAGGGGGCGTGGCTTAAACTCCTGTTGCAAGAGTCTCATACCGAAAAAGCATGAGACTCTTGCAATCCTAGTAGGACTGTGTTCTATACTTTTGCCGCATGGCGCTCCTGCTTTCAGAGCTTGAAGTTCTTCCTATGAGAGTATGTTCATTTTACCATTGATTGCTTTCATGCTGAAAACGAAAGAGTTCTTACAGATATCGCTAGAATTTTTTGACTAAAATTGCATGAAAAAGTTTCATACCTTAAACGTATGCCTCCTCATACTATAAAAGCTAGATTTTTCTCTCCGTGTATGAACGGATATTTTCATTTTTCAACTAATTCATACATAGAATTAATGATCAAACGCAAACCTGAGAAATAAATTATATTTTCCAATTAAATGCATTTTATAAAATATAATTAATTATATGCTTTATGATTAACATGAATCATCCCAGGTGAATTTTCAAAAAAAGTATAAATATATTTTTATTAAAAAAACGTTTTTCGTTGTTCTGAATCATTGTAAACATTAATTTTTTGTTGATGAAAAAATATTTGACTTTTGGACTTAGAATATTAAATAATGTATATAAATAAATGAATAGTATCAAGTAACTCATTATTCTCATTACACATAAATATTTAATTGATCAAAATATTTTATTTTTCTTTAATAAAATAGTGTATTAACATTAAATAACGTAATATTTATATTAAATAATTTAATTAATAAGAATTAATAAAATAAATTTATTGTATCAATTACTTTTTATTTGTTTCAGTAAAACGAAATATTTAAGTGAAATTAAAAAATAATTTTTTCAAGTAAATCATTATTATCGTTTCAAATAAATATTTAATTGATTGAAATATTGTTTTATTTGTCTTGATAAAATAGTGTATTAGCATTAAATAACGAATTATTTGTATTAAGTAATTAAGTTTATTTGAATCAATTACAGAAATTTTCTGTGTCAAATACTTTTTATTTGTATCAAATAAACGAAATATTTGAGTGAAATACAGTAAAACCCCGACTTACGCTACCCCGTTTTACGCGAATTCGGAGATACGCGGTTTTTTTATGGTCGTGCGAATTAACTCGTAATTAATTAATAAATAATTTATTATTGTTTTTTACGTTGTTTTTATTCATAAAAATGTAAATAGTTTTCTTACTTGATATTTTATTAAACATATTTCTTCTAAATTCTAAATTATTGTATTTATTTTATATGAAAACTTAAACCCCGATTTACGCGAATTCGAATTACACGGTCGTCGCTCGGTCCTACCTATCGCGTAAGTCCGGGGTATTACTGTAAATGAATAAATAGTTTCAAGTAACTCATTATTTGTATTAAATAAATTCATTTATTCAATTTATTTAATTATTTAAGTGAACCAAATAGGATTTATTCGGTTCAAATAAATGCGATTTAAATAATTTAAGTTATTTGAATCAAATACATATTTTTTTAATCCAAATAAAAAGTATTTGAACCTAATAGTTTACATATAGGGCTCGTTGGATGCGGAATTACGTCAGCTTTCAATTGGTAGTTTCAGAATTGCAATAACTTTATTTATTTGTAAAATACTTCATTTTTTATTAAAATTAATTAATTAATTTCCCGACAATAACAAAAAAGGACATGTCAATACTTGTTGTGATGAAAATACACATTTTTAACCTTAAAAAAAAGTCAAAAAAATTTTTGATTTTCAAAAAAAGGGTCGAATTTTTAATTTTTTGAGAAAAAAATTGTGCACCATACGAAAGAGCAGGAAGAAACCTTTCGAAAACATAATATATAGTTCAAATTTTTTTCATCTTTCTATTTAAATGTTATAAGTTATGGAGATTGTATGTGTATTTTGGCTCCAATATTATTAATAATTAACTCCTCGGGAAGGGCTCGGGACCAAGGATAAAATCAGGACTCCAATTTGACATATAACAATTTATATATCTGCACTACACTCCAGGTTACACACCGCACACTCCTTTTTCCCCTCTCACCCAACGCACCATGCGTGTTGCCTCGTCGACAGTCAGAACGTTTCTCGTGGTGAGAATGGCACTCACACAAGCACACGCATACACCGGTTGGGGAAGAAAGTGGGGTGAACTAAACGCGCACCCACAAAGTCTTCAACAATTTACTGTTTAAATTTTTCAAAATAATTTAACCTCCCCTCTCCTACAGTTTTGGAAAAAACCTAACATTACTTTGTGGTTAAAGTACTCACCCCTAGGGCTGAACTATGTGCAAGTTACAGCCCGATCCGATCTACTTTTTTCACTTAGTACGTTACAGGAATTTTACCCCTCATAGAATTTTAAAATTTACAATAGAGGTATTTTACATGTAATGTCCTGAGTTAAAAAATTAATTTCTCGAAAAAAAGTGGAAGTTGGAGAAATTCTTGTCCTACCTGATGGTAAAATATCCCCAAAAAAATTTTTGACTTTTTTGAAATTTTGGGGGAGATAGAGGGGTGTCAATTTTATCAGTTTTCCCTGCCAACTGACACGTTTTTTCCGACCTGTATATTAATTTTCAAAATGACGATTTTTTTTATTTTCGAGATATTAAATGTCAAATATTTTATGTCGGCGCACGCGGCGAGGCGGTTGACTCATACCACGCAGCGATAGATGTAAACACTGGAGCGCGCGGACATAAAATCTTTGATATTTAATATCTCCAAAACAAAAAAAATCGGCATTCTGAAAATTTTTATACAGATCGGATAAAACCTCAGCTTTCGTTTGCAATTATTTACTTAAAAAAACGCATCGATTTTAGTGAAAATAGCAAATTTATGTTTAATCACAGAAAATCAAGGTCAAAATTTAAAAATTTTACAAAACGAAATTCACCATTGGAAAGAGCATGAAAAAACCTTCAAAAAATATAACTGCCAAAATTTTTTTTTTTCAATTTATAGACAGAAAAAATTCAAATAGTAGGCAGTGTCAGGAAAAACTGATAAAATTGACCCCCCCTATATCTCCCCCAAAATTTCAAAAAAGTCAAAAAAATTTTTGGGGATATTTTACTATCAGGTAGGACAAGAATTTCCCCAACTTTCACTTTTTTTCGAGAAATTAATTTTTTAACTTAGGACATTACCCGTAAAATGCCTCAATAGTGGAAACATTGCGTGTATAATAGGCGGAACGGATCTCTCTGTTTTGAGAGATAAATTGTTTCTGATTATAAAAATACAGCTCGGAAATGTCCAAGTATTACAGTAAAATTTTGAATTGGAGGAATGGAATTTGAGAAGGGTTGCAAGCTTTGTTAGAGGTATAATTCAGGTAGACAGGAAAAATCATCTGGACTCATCTTATAACTTAATGAGCCTTTACTGCGGCTAAATTATAAACTAAAAGTTTGTCGATTTATAACAGTTGTTTAGTTCTCATAGATAAATTCCCTAAAAATATTATCCTTTGTGAAAAGATACAAATTTTTACAAAATATTTCTTATTTGGAATAATAAAATTGCAAATTTTCTCCTCATAAATTTATTTATTTATTAACATGTTTACGGGCAGTGCCCTTTCGTACAATTGTATTTATAATAAACGATTTGAAAATTAACAAAATATAAAAATTAAGCGAAGATAATAACAGTTTAATCGTAATGGTATACAAGTTCTCGTATCTTAGTAATAAACATGTTTAAAGATATTCCGTAAAAATTCAAAGTATGAACCCTGTGGGCAAAAAACCATGTTCGTTCTAAATAATGAGTAAATAACCATGTCCACCAAATAATGTTCTGGAACATTATTTGAACATCCATGTTCTTAAAATGTTCCAGAACATTATTTGGCGGACATGAAACGTTCTAAGAACGTCCTTAAAACGTTTTTAGAACGAACATGGTTTTTTGCCCACAGGGAAAGTCGTTGTACAAAAATCTTTGTTCAATTGATGGAATACGCCTGCCCGTCTCGCAAGAAAACGTAAAAATCTGTTTTGAATACGTTCAAGTTCAATTAATAGTGAATCCTGATAGGGTAAATGTGGGTATTACCGCGATTTTTATGAATACGAGAGTTTGATAAAAAAATAAAACACATTTTACAAGATATTAGTGTAATTTTTTTTTAATTGATCATTAAGTATACTTTCTGTTAATAAAAAATTAATAATGTCATATAAGGTATATTTTATTAAATAAAAGACATTTTAAAAATTAATGTAAGTGTATACATTACCGCGATGTCAAAACCTTTATGACCCAAATGCCGTGTGCCAAATGCCGCGATGATGTTTGTATACGGATCTTTTTTTATCTATAATTTACTGCTTTCTTTCGCCTTCTTTTGGTAATTCCCATATTTTTGTTGCTTATATTTAAATTATATTAAAAACTTAAAACTTTTTACATTTTTATTATGATGACTGAGTAAATCAGGTTATGTGTCGACAATTTATAGGTTAGGTGTACAGGCATGTTTGCATGAGAAATGAGTCGCGGCATTTGACGCGCCTTTTAAAAATGTGTGCATGTTACCGTATTATAAATATAAACAAGGAGGGATCCTTTATGTTTATTTCATAAAAATTTTGCTTTCTTATTGCGTGAAGCAAGAAATTTGCTTTCTCGTAAAGGAAGCTATGAATTCTCCAGTTCAATTGATTGATTTAAAACATTTCGCGTAGAAAACTGTATTAAATTAATTAAATTTTTTTAAAAATTAAAAAAATTTTAATTCATTTTGGGTGTAACATATGCTTTATATATACGAATCGGTTCGTTTCAATGCAAGTAATACAATTATCTTATGTATTAACTTAAATTTAAAAAACACAAAATTTTTTTAGCTAAAATATGAATTTTCGATTTTTTAATTTTTATTAATTCTTAAAATTTAAATGGAATCTATACTTTATATACACCATAACCAATTCGTTTTAATGCAGGGAATAAAATTATTTCATATATAAACATGAATTTAAAAACAACACAACATTTTTTAGCCAAAATGTGAATTTTTGATTTTTTAAATTTCATTAATTCTTTAAATTTTAATCAAATCTATACTTTATATACCAATCGATTCGTACTGACTTAACAAAGACGATTATATTATATATTACCTTAAATTTTTATGTTTAAAAATTTTTTCAATTAAAAAAAACTTTTTGGAAAAAAGACGATAAAATTTTTTTTGGGACAATTAATTAGGATCTCATATAATATGTTTCTATATAGAGGAAAATTTGTTTTCACCATTTTTAAAAATTTTATAAACGAAAGGACTACAAAGCTTCCTCCACGAGGAAGCAAAAGGAAAAAAAGTCGGATCTATATTAGGTAAAGTGTTATAATAAAAAAAACGTTACTTTATCGAATAAAAAAAGAATAACAAAATTTGGAGCATAAATATCAATACAAAAGACGTTTTTTGGAAAACCTTTTTTCACAATGCGATGAGCATTTTACCAAACTTGCTGCTCTAACGAGATTTAACAATTTGTAAAAACTTAACGATACATTAAATAACTAATATATTATTTTTATTTGATACTCATAATATTAAATTAACAGTGTAAATTTTTTCAGCGAATGAATCGGAACGTAATTGTGAAATTTTATAGAAAAAAGCGAAATCGCGAGAATACCCACATTTACCCTAAGGCTGACAAATAAGAGAAGCAAACTCTATAATAGGTCTAACAAGTGAGAAAAAAGTATTTTTAAGGACAAAATGTTTGTAAAAAAAGAAGTATTACGGATGACAAAGCCCAGGATTCTTTTGGCCTTATTAATTGTTTGACATATATGTGTGTACTAAAATCCATGCTAGAAACTAATGTTACCTCAAGGTCACTCTAAAAATATTTTCTGTACCCATTTTGTAGCAATGCTCGAAAATTTTTTATGTTTAGTAAATGAGATGGCATAACATTTTTAATGTTTAAAAAAAGCTTGTTTAAGATGGACCAATCGACAAGCCTACTAAGATCAGCCTGAAGATCAATACAGTCTTGTTTACAAGTGATAGATTTATATAATTTAAGGGGTTATGCCACTCTAGGATTTTCAAAAAATCGCTTTTTTTTTTGCTTTAAATAGTTCCTTAGGGTCTCAGAAATAACATATTGCAGGATTATGGCTCGGAAAAATCTCTAAATAATTTATTTTCGAAGTTCCTTGCAAGGCTGCACGGTACGCGGCGAGCTCATTTTGTCAGTTCTACGGGGGGTGATCTTTGAAGGATCTACAGCAGGTATACGGCAGATGTTTTCAAAGGCGCTAGTTACTTGCTAGACTATAGTGGTCAATTATATGGTGCAGGCATTGCAGATTAAAGGTATTGTGAAATTATTTAAGTTTTTTACAACTTAAAACTTTAAACGCGTTTATCTCCAAACTACATTTTTCGAGTTGGCCGAACCAACAACTCGTACAATTTCCAACCGATTAGGTTCAAATTTGACACACATCTTTAAAAATACATTTTTTAAGGTATCACGTAGGATTTTTTTTTATTCTATATAGTTAATTTGTTATTAACTATTAACTGATGGTTTTTTAGTCGAAATTAGAAAGTTTAACTTTAGAAGTGCGCCATTTGATCATGAATCAATATATCGAAAAAATCCTACGTGTTACTTTAGCTATTGTAATATATAATAAAAAAAAATTTAGATACTCAAGATATTTCAAAATTTACAGGAGCAGTTAGTTCGGCCACGTACCCCTTGAACCATAGAGGAGTCGAAGGACGACCGCTACAGCGCCACCATTCTTCAAGAAATATTTATAAGAAATTATTTTTTTACACCTAAAAAGATGTATAATAAACTTCTTATATTATATTTTTAATTGACTTTATGGTTTTTCTAAAAAAAATTCACATAAAACACCTATTTTTTCGGTCTCTAGAGTGGCATAACCCCTTAAGGTCGTCGTGATGCAAACCCTGAGGAACTCCAGAAGTTGCTAAAATAATTTCTGAAAAATCATATTCGACGCGAAAGGACAAAAATCTATCCGCGAGATAGCTCTATATCCAGCAGATCACGTTGCGAGAGAAACCAAGAGTCTCCCCTACTGTTAATTCCCATATGAGATCCTTTGTGAGATCGCTTATGGTTTCTTATATAAGATTCTATACGAAATCTTATAAGGACATCTCGTAAGAAAAATCTCATCAGTGTCTATACAGGATTCCATATAGGATCCCATATGGGGTCAATAAACAATGACATGTTCGTCAGTACTGATCGGCGCTTCATAAAGCCATGCTGCTCATAAATTATTAAATGTTCAGCTAATCTATAAAATTCGTCAAAAACTATATTTTCAAAGATTTTGGAAATAGAGCTGAGTATAACTATTGGTCTGTAGTTAGCTACATTCCTCTTATCACCATCTTTGTGTACAGGAACAAAAATACCTCTTTTCCATTCCCAAGGAAAAATGTTCGAAGATAAGGAAAGATTAAATAAAATATATAAAGGCTTAACAAAAACAAAGCAGCATGAGCTTAAGAAGGACGGCGGAATATGATCTGGACCTGCTCCCTTATTAACGTTTAAGTTTTTTAATTTTGATAATATTGTATAATCAATATAATCTAATAGATCATTAGTACATTTAAACTTTCGATGAGCTATTTTTTTAAAAAAACACTAATAGTCTTAATTTGTGAGAAAACCATGGCATAAAATTATCATTATTAATTCTTGCCGAGACAGCATTATCCAATGACTCACTCTTTAATATAAAATCCCAATCAGCATTACCTAGAAAAATAAGTATACTGCCTAAATTTGCCTTTGCAAAATCATAATTAGAATAATTAAATTCAGGGGTCAAATTAACGTTATGCGTTAAAGGGAGATCCTTTGCTCAAGGAAGCATACAAGGAGGCCAAAAAGAACCTCAGCAAAGAGATCCGCGCGTCGCGACGCCGTAGCTGGAAGGACCTAATCGAAGACGTCGAGAAGGACCCATGGGGTCTGGCTTTCAAAATCGTTACTAAGAAATTAGTAACGAGGCAAAAGACTCCCGGCCTGGACAATCCCGATTGCGTCAGAAAGGTAATAAAAGCCCTGTTTCCTCCTGCAGAGCCGTGGCTTAAGAAGGACTGGAGTTCTTGCATAGTCACAGAGGAAGAACTCTTTACTCTTGAAGAATTGGAAGCAGCATGTAGAAGATTGAAGACAGGCAAGGCGCCTGGAATCGATGGGATAAGCAACAAGATCCTAAAAGAGGTGATTGTTGCTTCCCCCTTGATTTTGTTAGACATCTTCAATCTCTGCCTAGAGAGAGGAGAGTTCTTTCCAGACAGGAAGAGGCAAAGGCTGGTCCTCTTAAGAAAGGATGCCAAACCTCTAGATAAGGTCTCATCCTACAGGCCTATATGCCTGTTGGATACGATGGGCAAACTTCTAGAGGACATGGTTCTGCAGAGAATGCAATATCTCTTGACTGGAGAGAATAGTCTATCCGATAACCCATTTGGATTCCGTAAAGGCAGTTGTGGACCTCGCCAGATAAGGGAAAAACAAATTGGGTCCAGATAAAAAGAAGAGCTTCTGCGCGTTGGTAGCAATAGACATACGGAACGCGTTCAATTCCGCGAGATGGGAAGATCTCATCGAGTCGCTGATACAGAAGGGTATACCGCCCTACCTGTTGCGGATTATGGATAATTATCTAAGCGACAGGTGTGTTATTTACGAGGAAGACACCTGCATTCTTAAGGAAGAGATGCAGCGTGGGGCCCCTCAAGGCTCGAGGGTAGGATCTTTTTTATGGAATGTATCTTACGATGACTTCCTGAGAATGGACCTGCCCGAAGGTGCGGTGATCGTCGGTTTTGCGGACGACGCGTTGATCGTGTGCGCTGCCGACTCGGCGGAAGCTCTGAGGACATTGGTGAACGAATGTCTGCGGCTAGCAAAATGCTGGCTGGAAACCAGAGGTCTTCAAATGGCCCTGGAAAAGACAGAAGCATTGCTGGTCACAGACAGACGTGGTTATAAATCCCCACAAATTGTGATAGACGAATTCGAGGTCAAGTGGAGGAGACAGATAAAGTACCTTGGTGTGGAACTGGATGGAAGGTTAAATTTCCATCACTACATAGCTACGGCGTCGAACAAGGCAATAGAGTGTGAGGCTAATTTATCATGGGTGATGCCAAATGTTGGAGGCATGGGCCCCCTACCTGAGAACAAACAGATGTTCAACCATCTGTAAAAAGATGCTGTCCGCGCAGAGATGCATTACTTCACGTATCACCTCTGCTTATCGCACAGTATCTACGAGCGCTGTGCAGGTCCCTGCAAGTGTTCCGCCAGCAGATCTTTTGACGCCTGAGAGGGAGGAAATTATCCTCCTTCTCAAAGAGGCGAATTCCTCTGAAGAGAAAGATCGACCCAGCAAGGACGGCATCCGCTTCGAAGCGTGGCACAGGCTCGTCGAAAAATGGCAAGAAAGATGGGACGGGAAGGTAAAAGGTCGATGGACTTATCGCCTTAAACCGACACTCGCCACTTGGTTAAGTAGGAACCATGGAGAGGTCTCCTACTATTTGACACAAGCGCTTATAGGTCACGGATGTTTTAATTCGTACCTGCAGCGCTTTAAGAAGAGAGAGAGTGAGGTGTGTGCTTACTGCCAGTTCCCTGTGGACAACGTAGAGCACACCCTCTTTGCCTGCAGTCGATGGGACTTGGAGAGGCAGGCCATGTTCACCGGTGTAAACACTACAGTTACACCGGAGAACATGGTAGTGCTGATGATCCAGTCCCACGAAAACTGGCGGCTCATCGAGACCTTTATCATCTCAGTTATGATGAGAAAGGATCTCGATGGCCGCAGATAGACGAAATTGACAGTCTCCATTTTATATTTATTTTGTCGGTTATCCTGGAAGTACCACTTCCACAAAAAAAGTTTTTATATATGCCAACATTAAGGGCTCAATTAGGGCTCATTTAGTACCACATGCAAAAATGTAGGCCCCCTTACCTATTTAAAATAACCCTTGGTACTGCTAGCTTGACGTCAAGCTAGAAGTACCACACTATAGAAACTAAATATTTTTCAAAATTTCTTCCATAGGAATTTAGGGCTCCCAACTGGGACTATTTAAAATTTTTAAACCACCCCTAAGTACAAAAAAATTAAAATTATTTAAACTCGATTTAATCAAACAATAATCATATAGGAATTAAGAGCTAAATTAGGTTTCTTCGATAGCACTAAATTCACTTTTTAAATTGCACCCCAACCACCCCAGCCAAGTAACTGATAGATAGTCAACCACAAAAACTACCCTCAACTAGTTAAAACTCAATATTTTCAAAAACAAACACATACGCATTTAAGGATAATTTAGGGCTCTAAAATAAAATTAAATTGGGTGTTCAAAAATGATACACTAACTTTAAAAACTACAGCGGAGTAGTTCAAACTTAATATTTTGAAAAAAATACTTAGGAATTCAGGGCTAATTTAGGGCTCTTAAATGGAACTTCCTTTGAGTGTTTAAAAACGATACACGAACTTTAAAAACTACTCCAGAGTAGTTCAGACTTTATTTTTTGAACAAATAAATATTTAGGAACTTAGGGCCAATTTAGGGCTCTTAAAAAAATACATTGTATTTATTTCTTCAAAAAATAAAGTTATTGCGAGTTATGCAAATTGCGAGGTATGACTATACTAAGTTTCAAGCAAATCCAATGATGTTCTAAAAATTCAGTCCTCTAATTTTAAAAACATTTGCATTTTCGCTTAGATGCTGTTCATTTGTCGGTAAAAGAGGAAATGGACCACAAGCAATCAGTATTGGAAAAAATTGTGATAAGTTTGGAATAGTCGTTCATGAACTGGGTCATGTGGTTGGCTTTTGGCATGAACATACAAGGCCCGACAGAGACCGTCACGTACAGATAATTAGAGACAATATTATGAGCGGTAAGTTTTTTTTAACAAGTATCCCAAATAGCACAACATCTGGCCACAATAATGTGTAAATATTTCGTAGTAATATTTCTAACAATAACTGACAATGTTTAGTCAATATTGCTGCGACATTGATTATATCTGCCATGAGAAAATATTATCTGTCAAAATTTAGGCAATATTTAATCAATCTAGCGGATCAGATCAATCAATCTCTGAACGAATTTTATTCAGTTAATCTGCCAGGGATATTGTCTGGCAATGTTTGGGAAAAATGAGATGATATCAACTATTGATTACAAATGAATCTTACAAATCAACCCAATTACGACAAAAACTTACAACATACATGCCTTGCAAAGTATGCTAGCTTTCACGGCAAGTTGGTGGCTAATCTGTGGCACGTAACAAAATATTCTATTGCTGCAAGTTTGTAATAAGCTTGCTGCAAGCTTCCCGCACTAGTATAATTTTTAATTAAGTCAAATTAAATTTTGTTTTTATAGTTGCGACTTGTTTTTTAAATATATACTGAGCATTATATCTGGGAGATAAAATGTATTGCTAAGCCATAGATCTTAGATAACACAGATACCCAAAAAAAATTTTGGTTCTGACCTGGAGGTCTCACTATATCTAACTTATGTTTTTGGGGTCGCTCTATCCGAATCCGAGGTCCATTTAACCCTATCAGATCAGGGTTTTGACATAATCCCAAAAAACCAATATGACGGGCACCTTTTGGAAAAATTCATCGGATTCGCTTTAAACATATTACTCGGGGGTTTTCAGGGTCGCTGATTACGAATTTGATGTCAGTTTTTTTAATTCAAAATGGCGAATGCAATATGGCGGATGGTTGTTTGAAAAACTCATCAGATTCGCTTGAAACTTGTTACTCGGGTGTTTTTAAGGTCGCTGAATCCGAATTTGATATCAGTTTCCAAAAATTCAATACGACGAATCAATATGTCGGACAAATTTTAACAATAAATTCCTATTTTTTGAAACTTGGTATTTAAGAGTTTTTCTGGTCATTGATTACGAATACTATATCATACTCTAAAAATCTCACAACTCCAATAACATTTAACGGTGGGCAACGGAGATTGTCCGCTATCCGGCTAAGTTCCTGAATAACGGCTTTGATGTCGTCATGGCAGACCAATGTAGGAAACGTGTTACGATGTAGGGAATCGAAACCCCAGTATCGGCGGTAAAAGGATTTAAAAAACTGACCTTATTTAAATCAATATAAAAATAAAGTCATTTTTTGATGATAGAAAAAAATCTGATCTGATAGGGTTAAATAGACATCAAATTCGTAATCAGCGACCCTGAAAACCCTCAAGTAACAAGTTTCAAGCGAATCTAATGAATTTTTCAAAAAAGCGTCCGCCATATTGGATCCGCCATTCTGAATTATAAAAAACTTACATGAAATTCGTAATCAGCGACCCTAATAACCCCCGAGTAACAAGTTGCAAGCGAATCTGATGAGTTTTTCAAAAAAGCATCCGACATATTGGGTTATGTCAAAACCCTGATCTGATGGGGTTAAATGGACTTCGGATTCGGATTGAGCAACCCCATAAACATTAGCTAGACATAATGAGACCTCCAGGTTAGAACAATAATTTTTTTTGTGTGGCTGTGTAGTCCGACTGCGCATTGTTTTAAGGTTTTTTAAGCTAACGTGGCAATCTTGTAGCAAGTTTGTCGAGTAATCTTGCACCAGTAGGACATATTGTTTCTTTTCACTAGCTTGCACAGCTGGAAAAGCAATCATGCTGCAATAATATACCTAAATATGAAATTTAAATATAAAATTTAAAAACAGATTCTGAACTAACAGACCAATTATACTTGAAGTGTTGTCAGGCGTTTGACAAAATATGAATAACTCTATGCAACATACATAATTATATAATTTGTGAATAAATTAAACATGATACAAGTATAATTGTTCTGTTAGTTAAAATTCTCGACTAATTTGCGTTAAGATCGGAGTTTGATTCCCGCATGGGTAACTTTTTTTCATCAAATAAAAAGTATCTTAGTTCAGCATGTAATATTACTTGAACTAGCTAAAAGAAACGCGCGTAAACGCGCGCGATATCTACAATTTTTTATGAAAAATTAAAAATTTATTTTTATTTGACGGACACTTATTGGAATTTTGATCTCACAAAAATAATAATATTATTTTTGTAATCGTTACTGTATTACTATTTTAACATTATGGTGTTATAATAATATAATACCTATTATTTCCCAGTCAATATGACCTTTCAATTTTGTACTCAAATATAGATTATATGCAACGATCGTCGAATTGTCAGCAATACATTTAAATGACCCATCTCAGGATCCATGCAGGGTGAATTCCTATTTTGTTTACCACAAGGCCCATGAACTTAAAATCGCTTTACAATGTTAAAAAGTTCTGGATTCTTTATTTCGTCTGTGATTTCAGCACATATCATTTTATTTAATGTTTCTGAATCGCAAATTTGTGTACGTAAACATATAGTTAAACGCACATTTGGCAATCCACGCGTTTTTCTTCTCTATGAAAGACGATACATATAAAATTGTAAATGAATAAAATTACAAGTACCTTGAGTATGCTTAAGGTTAACAGTCCATCCAGGATCACCAAAAGGAAACATTGTAGGATATGTCATGGGATCAAAATTTTCCTTAACAATAAGACTAGAAATTATTTTCTTATTATTTTCTGTTGTACATACTGAATTTACATCAACATGTAAATCCCTCTTCAATTCCTGTAGAAAATTTTACAGGACAAATTTTTTTCTTTGGGTATTTTCTTTTCATTCTCAGTTTCAGTAGACAGAACTCTGTTGTCATTTTTACTGGGAAAACTCTTTGAAAAATATGAAAGGTTTAGTTCACCATTTTGAAGTTCTTTAGCTCGATTTATGAAAAGACAATTCCAATCATTCTCTACAAATCGAAATCCTAATATTAGACATTCTAACTGCCGGAAAATGATTTAATTAATTGTTTTCAAAAAATGATATCAAATGCTTGCTCATTATATTATTATTACTTAAAATAAAATACTCTTTTATGTTCGACATGGTATCCTTCTTCAAATTTAAACTGCCGATAAAGCCAATTTTCAAAACAAATCGTCTATTTTAGTTTATTGCTTTAATAAATTTACTTACATGTGTTTCACCTATAAAATATTTTATTAACTATAATTCAGCTAACGAATGCAACAATGATAGTCTTATATGAACGTGAATTAGCGTTGTTTGATATTTTTCCATATTATATTATTTTCGATAATGATTATTATTTAACTTATTCTCCTCTGCACTTTTTATTAATATTCAACTCACAAACTATTATTTCACCCATAAAACAATATTCAAACCTCTTTCTTTCTATTTAAATACTTTTCCAAAAGCCAGCATCCTCTATTATCAAACAGTCAAAATTTTTTTTTCAATATCGATATATATTCAATACCAATGTTATCCAATATCATATTTTATTATCCTCAAAATCCAAATATCTTTAATGCTAATCTTATCCAATACCAAAAATTTTTTCCAAAAACCAACTTTCACTGTGGTCAAATAATGAATATTTTTTTCCAATATCAAAATATATTCAATACTAATGTTCTGCAATATCATTTTTTATCCATAAAATCAAAATATCTTTAATGCCAAAATTATCCAATACCAAAAAATTTTTCCAAAAACCAACTTTCACTGTGGTCAAATAATCAATATTTTTTTCCAATATCAAAATATATTCAATACCAATGTTATCCAATATCATATTTTATTATCCTCAAAATCCAAATATCTTTAAAGCCAATGTTATCAAATACCAAAAAAACTAAATGGATTGAAGTATTTTTTATATGAAACATTCAAGACAACCAATAGAAACAAATATCTTCTATACCAATATTATGCAATATCCATATTTTATGCATAAAAAAATTATTCAATAATCAATGTTTTATCTTCAAAATACATAAATAATTATTAATACTATACAAAAATAGGAATAAATTTTTTGTGCCCAATACAAAAATGAAAAAGACAAATATAATATAAGAAGATTCAACACATGCAGTAAGTTATTTATCGACAAATTGCAGAAAAATATTATAAACTATATAATAATCAAGTTAAGTTACCTGAGACTATTAGAAGCTTTTTTAGCGACACTACTACAATGTTGTTGCAACGGTAGACTTACATCAGCATCTTAAATCAGCAGTAGCCGTTTCACTCCATTGAGGAGAAGTTATACCCCCACTCTACCAATCCGGGCCTATGTTAAGTTCTCGCGTGAGGCAGATATTACGGTAGGCCTGAGTGGCGTCCTCGGGGATAGATGTTGGTAAGTTAAGTATGGATACACCACTTCCACTCACGGGGATTAAACGGTTATCATCTATATCGCATATACAATAATAAAAAAAATTTCCCTCAACCCAAAGCTGTTAGGACGAATCGAGCGATCACGGATTGGGTCCTGAAAAGGGAAGTGGTATATCCTCACTCTATCGGCCTATCCCGGGATCAGACCTCGAGTAAGTCAATTACAGCGGGAGCCTGTGTGGCGTTTTCGGGCTTAATGACAATATTATTTTATGACGCTTAATGAGTTTTCCAAAAAAATTATAAAATTTTTAAATATAAACATTGTTTAATTTATTTTGACATATTCGTTTTCCTCAGAAGTTCATGATTACGAGCATATATTGCTCCAATAATAATAAATGTTAATATTGAAAAATTTTATAATTTTAGTTCAATTCAATAAACCTACATGATGTGTTTTAAACCGATTTAACCCAAAGGTGCTGGCACCAAAAATTTTCTTCTTGCTTTTTATTCACCAGTACATATAACCACATGGTGATTGTTCGGGCCGGGCTGGTAAAGTGGGGGACACAACTTCGCTTTACAGGACAGTAATTAACCCTTTGAAGCATACATTTTTCATTAACAGGA